ATATATAGGGGGGGGAAATCGGAGTTAGCGATAGACAACTTCTATGTCTAAACTAAATTTTAAATATGCAATAGATTGGTGACGAATTTCGCTGCTAATTAATTTTTAGTGATACACTAATTTATTTATTTTTGTTTTCCTTTTTAATATTCATGGTTTTATCACAAAGTTTTTTATGACCAACTTCTAAAGATTTGAACTCGATCAAATTTTTTTTAGGATGGATGAACTTATGTTATGTATAGTGACAGTTTAAAATATTTTTTATATTTTCAAAAGATATCAACAAATAACATGTAAAAAGTGAATTTGCAAAAAAAAAAGAAGGTAGGTTACCTATTGTTGTAATAAGTAAAATTAATAGTGTGTGACTTTTTTTTTTCTAATCGTATATATAAATTCGATTCTAATTTTAAATCTGTTTAGTTTAAATTTTGAATCATATAAAGTTCATTTAATTTCTATTTTTTGAGTTTTTTTTGGAGGGTGCTTGAAAAGTAGTATTCACAAACATAAAGTAGTGGACCCATAGTTCCTTCTTTAAAAAAAAAAAAAAACTTAATTCATTAAGTTTAAATTCCGAATCCTCTTGTTGTCATTTATTTGATGCAGCTAAGGCAATATTTGGAGAGCAAGAATGGTACTTTTTTAGTCCAAGAGATAGGAAATATCCTAACGGGGCGAGGCCAAATCGGGCAGCAACATCGGGTTATTGGAAGGCTACCGGAACCGACAAGCCGATTTTTACCTCCGGTGGAACTCAAAAGGTCGGGGTAAAAAAGGCGCTCGTTTTTTACGGCGGTAAACCACCGAAAGGGGTAAAAACTAATTGGATCATGCATGAATACAGAGTAGTTGAAAATAAAACAAATAACAAGCCCCCGGGTTGTGATCATATTGTTGCCAACAAAAAAGGATCTTTGAGGGTAAGTCCTTAATTTTTCATTTTATTTATTGTATCGGAAATAAATTTTCTATCTCTCAAGATAAGGATAAGATTTACGTATACTCTAACTTTATTAGACCCCACGACCACACTGGGTATGATGTTGTTGTTGTTTACTTAATTCAAGTTTCAATTTTTTTGACAAAAGAGTTTAAGTTTTTTTTATATATATATATATATACGTGGTTATTATAATTAAGAATATTTTATACTATTAGTGTAATTTAACTGGTTATAGTAAGTTACCATTACTAGAAAACATGGAATTCTAATAGAGAGAAATGTGCTCGTCCTAGTTAAGATAAGACGCTTAAATTGGGACGGATGGAGTAGTATATTAGTAGTACTTTATTTTTCATGTTAGATGTTACTATATATGACGCTTGACGTAGAGAGTTATCATATCGATATTTTTACTATTAGTGTACAGAACATAAACTCGAATAAATTCAATGTTTCACTAGCTAGTTAATTAGTCTTACTTTTTTTTTTTTTGTATATTTTTCTTACACCATATATTTTTTATTTTTGCAGCTAGATGATTGGGTTTTATGTCGAATTTACAAGAAGAATAACACTCAAAGGTCAATAGATGATTTGAATGATATGTTGGGATCAATACCACAAAATGTACCAAATTCAATACTACAAGGAGTAAAACCTTCAAACTATGGTACAATATTGCTCGAAAATGAATCGAACATGTACGATGGAATTATGAATAATACGAACGATATGATCAACAACAATAATAGATCCATTCCACAATTCTCGTCAAAGAGATCGATGCATGGAGGTTTGTATTGGAATATCGACGAAACAACAACAACAACTGAAGGGAACCATTCTCCAAATACAAAAAGGTTCTTAGTTGAGAACAACAGGGACGATGGACTTAACATGAATAATATTGCGCGAATTACAAATCATGAACAAAGTAGCTCCATTGCCAATTTCCTGAGCCACTTTCCTCAAAATACTTCGATTCAACAAGAACAACAAGAACAACAAGTATTGGGATCTCTTAGTGATGGAGTTGTCTTTCGACAACCTTATAATCAAGTTACTGGCATGAATTGGTACTCTTAAAGATACAAAAAGGCAAATTTTACTTTGCCCCCCCGAAATCAACCAATCAGTCAATTATATAGATATATTATATATGGATTTCTTTATATTTTACTTTAGTTAGAATTAATACAGAATATCTTCTATTCAGACTATCACATCAACAAATGAAAGCAGTCACAACTATATTTTGTATATATGCCCTATTTCAACTCTCTTTTCAATGCTTTAAATGAGCTATTAGAAGACTTTTTGTAAAAGGAGAAAGATAGGAGTTATAGTAGTTTAGTTTCAGTTATTCGATTCGAATGTTTGCATCAGTAAAGTAAATTATGATCGACGCAACTATCATTTGTTAGATGATAATCTACAACTTTTTTTTGGTAGCTATGTGCTTGTGGAAGGTGACCTATATAACTTGATATGTTGTCTTGAAGAGTTATGATAACTAGCTATAAATGAGTTGATTAATTACACTAATTATTTATTTAAAAAATATTAATATATAATTTAAATCTTTATTGAGCTTCCAACACACTAGAAATAAAGCTTATACTAGTAAAATTAGGTTAGATAGTTAATTTTGATTTTGACATTTAGTTACCTTCTTTTTTCTTAATTAAAAGTATCGGATTTGATCAATATTTTTTGTAATTATTTTTGTTAAAAAATGTTTTACTCCTTTATATGAAAACTTCTCATTATGTATTTAGATTTAATTAGATGCCAACAAAAATACCGAATACCAAAACGAATAATAAAACAATTCAAAAAAATAGGGGAACTTATTAATCTTAGTTTTAAAAAAAGTTTTAGTTGATGGAGTATCATCATTTATTAGAGAAAATTACGTAGTGGATAACGTATATGATTCATTGATAGTTGTCTTCCACTAACTTGTTATGACGACACGACTTATATTTCATAGTTGACTTGACATAAAATTTAATAACGAATGAATTATTTTTTGTTGAAATTTATGGTATTTCTTTCAAATTTATGTTTGACGGATTATAGATAATTCCTTCAAAGCTATGGAGTTAGAAATCAATTTTTCTATGGGGTCAATTTATTTATGCACATGTAAATGAGATGGTCTACCAATTAAGCTATAGTACTCCAATTAAATAAAATTACATAAAACATAATTAAGGTATCGAAATATTAATTAATTAAGAATAAAACAAAAGTTGACAATAATAGTAGCTACTAATTAACCCCACAAATTGACTTTCTTTAATTTATTTGCTGACTTTAGGGACCATTAATTTATGTTGTCAACAAAGGGATTCACTTTCTTAAAATCACAAATTTATTTGTTTGTTTAATAGTATTCCTTACCAAGTAAACATTACAAAGCTACTTTGTATTAAGTATCTATATATGACACTTTAGCGATTCTCATTTATTTGAATTAGCGATTCTCCACATATATTTTCTTTATGGGCCTAGCAGTCCCAACAAATATTTTCTTTTTAAAGCCCAATGCTCTTTTGGGTTACTCTTTCAGTATCTTAAAATTAGTATCAAAATAACAAGACAATAATTTATAGCTTAATTTGGCTTTGCGCGCAAATTAAAGAAAAAATGTTCTCTATTAGGATTTTTATTTTATTTTCAAAATTCAAATTCGAGATAATATATTTTAACAGATATACTTACATCATTATTTACGTTATTTATATAAATATATAACATCTATATTGTATAACAATGTATAATAGATATATAGAAAATGTTCTCTATAAGGTTTAGGCATGTACATTAATTAGTGTATCATAATTAACTACCAATATGTCTATTTTGTGGGGAAGGGTGGAGCTAGAGCGAGGTTGTTAAAATGTTTAATAGAATTTTCTTCGATAAAAAATTATATGATAAAAATGGGAGCATAAAAAGCCATAAATAATTATATTTTGTTATATAAAATTTGTTAAATTTTCTTTAAATAAGGGAAGACAATAAGGCTTAAGGTTTATATGATAAACACAGACAATATCATGATTAGGGTTTAGAGAGAGTGGAGTATATGCAGATTCTATCTCTGTTTCAAAGGTGAAGAGGTTGTTCCCAATAGACCCTCAGCTCACGAAAAAACAAATCAAAGCAGATTGAAAAAGAATTGACAGAGTGGAGACACCATATCAAAATACTATAGCGAGCATGACAAAACAATTTAAGAAAAGGTGAAGTAACTACAACAGAATATTACAATAATCGAATTACAAGAAACAACAACTAGTAACAAAAATTAAAGGACAAAAAACTACAAAAATAATACTACGATAAAGTAGTATGTAAAGTAAAGTGATACAACACTCAACTTACTCAAAAAGTGGAAAAAGATTTATATTAAAAACCATATATTTCATAAGGTTTATAGTCACACTCACACTAATATTATAGCATATTTCGTTAAAGACTATAAATTTCAAAAATCTAAAAATATTCTTTTAATTTAATCAAACTATATCATATATGTTGAAACAGACAACATATAACATTATCACAAAGATAATGTATACTATAATTTACATAATTTTTTAAAATATAAGAAAAAAATCGATTGAAGCATGAGAATTATAAATTTAAATAGTACAGCAAAGCAATTCATTAATTAAATGCAAAATCTCCCAACTATATAAAATGGACTATATGGCATAGTCAGCACTTTTTATTGATTAATTAATGAAACACTTACTTCTAGATTTACATATACGTGGCAATTGTCGATATCTAATATAAAGTTCGATTAATTTTAATTTATGTTTTGAAAACTACATTTACAGGTAAAATGCTATCTACAAAATATAATATCAAATTGAAATTATTTCAAACAATGTCCACTTTTCTGTTTCTGTAATTGAAAAATAACTATTATCCTTAAGTTTCAAATTTTACAAATAAAGCTTTAAATAATGTTCTGAAATTCGATACTTTACGATATTAATTATTTTTTAAAGACATGATCGAAAAATGACCAGTGTGTTATTACTCCTACCTATATAATATCCAACAAACTTGGCCCAAAGAAGGAAAAAAAAACCCAATATATTTCTCTCTTCCATATAGTATATTTTTGTATGCAAAACTCCATTGATGGTTTGTTTTTGCTTTCTGGTGGATCAAAAGAGGATGGTGCGGCGGAGTAAGCCGGTGGCTGGCTCGTGTTCGCGGTGTGGACACGGTGCTAAAGTGGCTGAGATGTATACATCAACTAGGTTTTGTTATATTCCATTTTATACCAAGTCTTGGAAGGCAATTGTTTGTAGTTTTTGTGGTGTCATTCTCAAATACTACACATAAACTCATAACAATAGATGAAGGGTGATTAGTTATATTCCCTTTTTCTCAAGGCCGCGAAGGTGAACTAGATCGATGAAGGATGATTAATTGAACACCTTCTGCTAGAAAAGAAGTTAGTGTATATCATGTATATAGGTAAATTATTAGTCATTGGTAGAGTTTGTGAGTTATATATATCCAATAGGATAGCTAAGTTGAATATAACGTGAAGTCATATCAATTTATCATGATTTGCATGCTAATATTTAGAAATGTATTTTTCCTCTTTTTTGTTTGTACCTTTGAAATCATGACGATCCGCTATGATTTTTTGAGTAATATGATAAGATATGAGCTATAGCGTAAAGTCAAACCGATTTATCATGACTTGCAATGTTACCGTTGCTAATTTGTGTCGCTTTATCATATTTGTCATTAAGGATATTTTAGTCTGAAATTTGTTCATTAACCTAAAAGATTCGTTTTCACACAAATTCAAAATTTAGAGACGATTTTAAAAAAAGGGCCTAAAGTATCTCTTTTGTGCAAATCACCCGCTAGTTTTGGGGGTTGAGTTATCAGAACCAGAGATATTCAAATTCTTGATTTATCTAATGTTGAGCCATCATATTATGTTGTTCACGTTCCACATTTTATTTTAAATGCATTAATTCCACAATATGATATCTATATTTTAAATTCCTATCTTAATATTTGACTTGTATTTGTTTTCTAGATCAATTAATTTACATGATGTTTGAATATTTTTTTAAACATTCTTCACTATTTAAAATAAAGAACACGATTTTATAATATTTTACTAGTTTTTTTGAATGACAACTTTAAATTTGAAAATGTAATAAAAGACGAGCAATTTGACAGATGAAATAGTTATTTTTGCAAAAAAAAAAAATCCTCCTAAAAATATAGAAATATATGAAGAGGAAGGCAAATGGGGACCCAACATTGTTGGTGGCCATGTGCATTTGTATAGAGGAAATGGACAAAAAAATTCATTCAAGTTACCAAATTCCTTACGTTTCCCTTTTTTACGATGTAAAGGGCGTTTAAATTAGCACATTAAAAGTAATTGATAATATCATATATTGAAAAGTATTTTTAAATATTCGAATATGATTTCTTATGGAGAATAGTAGAAAAAAAGTTGAATATAGACAAGAGAACTCATTGAGTAGCCAAATTTCTAACGATTCCTTTTTTTTGCGATGTAAATTTCATTTAGAGTAATTGATTAAAAATAATGAATAGATATTGAGTATTGAAAAAAAATATTTTTTAAAGTGTTAGAGACTAATTTTATCATATGTAATTGTGTAGCGGATAATAGAAAAAAATAATTTGAATTCTAGATTCAAATTGAAAAGAAAATGCAAAAAAAAAAAACAAACTCATTAAGTCATCAAATTCCTAATGGCTACTTTTTGGTGAGTAAAGCTTATCTAGATTAGTTGATTAAAAATAACGAATATATATTTAATATTGAAAAGTATTTTCAAGTTTTAATGATATTTTTTTAGTGTTGAAAAATATTTCTAAATATTAAAACTAATTTTATCATGTACATTTATGTAGCAAATAGTAGAAAAACAGTGAGTAGAATTCTATACTCAAATTGAAGATAAAGGATTTATTAAGTCGCCAAATTCCTAATGGCCCCTTTTGGTGACCCAAATCTCATCTACATTAGCTAATTTAAAATAATTGATAAACCTGAAGTATTAAAAAATAATTCTAAAATATCAAAATTAATTTTATAAATAAATAATACTAATATATTTAAATAAAAATATTGGGGAAAAACACTAGTATATTTAAATAAAAAGGCGTTATAAATATTTATTTTTTGTTAAATTGAGAGAATTGCAGTTAAATATATTTAAGTTTAAGTTTGAGTTTTGAAAATAAAAACACATAATGAACTATGATGGGATGATTGAAGTCACGAGTTTGACTGTATGAAAAAATTTTCTTATTGAAATGAGTCCTACAATACAATTTATATAAAAGCCGCGTAGAATTGGGTCCCAACAAGGCCTAATTATACAAATAGGCTACTGTATGTTTTGGTTAATTTTCATGCAAAGCCTAATTATACTATGATTACATCAATTTAATGATCATTTGGAGAACTTTAATGGCAAATTCTACTTAATTAAACTGGCAATGCTGCTTGAAAACAGCTGTTTCAAATTGAGCATGGAAGTGGGGTTTGGAAATTCATTCTTGTGGTCCCTTTTTGCCCTTTTTGCTATCTACAGCCTGTTAAGAGCTAGCTGTGGAGTAGCCACTGAAAAAGCTCTTGTTGTGATTGTGTTTAGAATTGGGTATTTCTTGTTTCTTTCTTCCTTTTGGTTCACACCCATGTCAAAAGATTCAATGTTTCATATCATAATGGAATTGCACTAAAAAGTTCTTGTTGATTGTGTTTGAATTTGGGTCTTTCTTGTTTCTGCCTTTTGGTTCACACCCATGTCAAAAGATCCAATTTTTCAAGGGCAAGTTGTACTAGATAGCTCTTCTTGACTGTGTTTTTATGGTGGATTTGCACTAAATAGCTCTTCTTGATTGTGTTTTTATTGTGGCATTGAGGTAACCTGACTTGGGTCTTGTTGTTTCTTCCTTCTGGTTCACACCCTTTTCAAAAGATCCAATTTTTCATGGTGGAGTTGCACTAAAAAGCTGTTCTTGATTGTGTTTTCATGGTGGCATTGAGGTAACCTGACTTGGGACTTGTTTCTTTCTTCTTTTTGGTTCATACCCTTTTCAAAAGATTCAATTTTTCATAGTGTAGTTGCACTAAAAAGCTGTTCTTGATTGTGTTTTCATGGTGGCATTGAGGTAACCTGACTTGGGACTTGTTTCTTTCTTCTTTTTGGTTCATACCCTTTTCAAAAGATTCAATTTTTCATAGTGTAGTTGCACTAAAAAGCTGTTCTTGATTGTGTTTTCATGGTGGCATTGAGGTAACTTGAATTGGGTCCTCTTATTTCTTCCTTTTGGTTCACATCCTTTTCAAAATATTCAATTTTTCATAGTGGAGTTGCACTAAACAGCTCTTCTTGACTGTGTTTTTATGGTGGATTTGCACTAAAAAGCTCTTCTTGATTGTGTTTTTATGGTGGCATTGAGGTAATCTGAATTGGATTTTGTTTCTTTCTTCCTTTTGGTTCACACCCTTTTCAAAAGATTCAATTTTTCATAGTGTAGTTGCACTAAAAAGCTGTTCTTGATTGTGTTTTCATGGTGGCATTGAGGTAACCTGACTTGGGACTTGTTTCTTTCTTCTTTTTGGTTCATACCCTTTTCAAAAGATTCAATTTTTCATTGTGGAGTTGCACTAAAAAAATCTATTTGACTGTATTTTCATGGTGGCATTGAGGTAACCTTTCTTCTGGTGCACAGCTCGGAACTCGGTGGATAATTGGCACACCCCTTGACTCTTCTCCACTTAAATACCAGGCTTTTTGTTACGTCCGCCTAACTCACACATCAGGCATAGGCATTGCACTCTTACCACTGAACCAAAGCCTCTAGGAGCATTTCCAATCTGGAGTCTAGAGGAAAGTTGTTAGCTCAGATCTTGTCTAAAACTATTTTTTTGTTCTTTTGGTGTTAATCATAGTTTATTGGTAGTTTCCTGTGATTTTTCAGTTAAGTTTTTTTTTCTGTATCAAGATTGCTCTAGATAGTTGAGAAAGATCTATAATACTACAGTGTAGGTTCTTAGTATCATCTGGGAAATCAGACTTAGCTTATTCAGCTACTTTGATATCGAGATTGAGGCATAGTTATTGTTGTTGTTGTTGTAACTGGAGGGGTCGTCTGAAAGAAGACAAAAAGTTGTCTTAAGAGTTTTAATTTTTGTGGAGAATTGGAGTCCAGTATTTAGCAATAGGCTCTTTAGGACGATGGACTTGAGAACAATGTCATGGATGCCTTTGGTTCTAGCAGTAGTTGTGTCCATCTTTTTGATTCAGGACTCGAATGCTGCCTTCATTCCTGCTGATAACTACTTGCTCGCGTGTGGATCATCACAAAATGTGACGTATATCGGCCAGACATATGTTCCTGATTCGCTCCACTCTTCAGCTGCTTTAGAAAATAAGGAAAATTCTATTGCTGCAACATCCAATTCTAGTGCTCCGTTTTCGATCTATCAGTCGGCCAGAATTTTCCATACTACGGCGTTTTACAAGTTTGATATTAAGCAAGAAGGCCACCATTGGATCCGTCTGTATTTCTACCCTCTTCCGGGGCACAACTTAACGTCTGCCTCAATGACAGTGGTCACAGAAAATTTTGTTCTGTTGAACAATTTCAGTTTCAAGAGCTATAATGGATCATACCTTTTTAAGGAATACGCGATCAATGTCAATTCAGATAGTTTGATTCTTGCTTTGATCCCTTCAAACAACTCCGTTGCATTTATCAGTGCCATTGAAGTTGTATCAGTACCTGATGAGTTGATCCCTGATCAAGCAGTGGCTGTATCTCCCGTAGCACCTTTCAGTGGCCTTTCTGGACTAGCCCTCGAAACTGTTTATCGTCTAAACATGGGTGGTCCTCATCTCACTGCTCTGAATGACACCTTGGGAAGAACGTGGGAGAATGATGTGAAGTACCTTCACGTCAACAGCTCTGCGGTGAGTGTTTCAGTTAGCCCTTCAAGCATAAAGTATCCGGCTACTATGACTCCTGAAATAGCACCAAATTGGGTTTACGCTACTGCTGAAACTATGGGAGATGCAAATGTACCTAATGTGAATTTCAATATCACTTGGGTGTTCCCTGTTGATCCGAACTTCATGTACTTCATCCGAGTACATTTTTGTGATATTGTGAGCGAATCTTTGAATAGTCTTCTGTTCAACCTATATGTTAATAATGATGCTGCTCTACTGGACCTAGACTTGTCAAACTTAGCTGGAAATTTGGATGTACCGTTATACAAGGATTTCGTCTCCAACTCCTCAGTAAACTCAAGTATTCTGACAGTGAGTGTTGGTCCAGATACGAGTGCGGATTGGATAAATGCAATTATGAATGGACTGGAAATCATGAAGATTAGCAATGAAGCTAGAAGCTTGAGTGGGGTTCAATCTGTTGAGACTCTCTTTGTGTTGCCTCACAAAAAGAAAAAGATAGGTATCATTCTTGGTTCTGCCTTAGGAGCATCTGCTGTTTTGGCGCTTATTGCGTTGTGTTGTTGCTTTTTTATAGCTCGAAGATCAAAGACTTCCAACCAAGGACACTCATGGATTCCGTCCTTGTATGGGAACTCTTTAACTTTGACGAAAACAACAGTTTCTCGGGGAACAGCAAGCTGCATCTCCTTGGCTTCACCGA